TATATATATATATATATATATGAAGTCAAAAAGTGCACAAGACGTAAAGTGACAAGTGATAAATTGTGTGAAATAGAATTAAAATTCAAATATTACAAGAGCAAAACTAACTTGAAATATAGGAATCACATAAAAATATCCTATAACATTAAGTTCAGCTCCGAACTCCTTTCTTAATTTTCTACTCATCCACATTCAATTCTTAAAAAAAGTTGACATAATTGTGAACAACTTGAAAATTATTTGCATTGTCATCAATGAGGGGGTTTTTATTTGAGTTGTTGTCATAATAATCCTGCCTCATCCTGTGGAGTTCCATGCCTCTCAATCTGTTTCTTCTTCATTTATTTTGTTTTCTGTTTCTTCTTCATTTATTTCAATCATATTTTTCTTTTTCATAAATATTTTTCATCAACATAAAGTTAGAATAATACTCCAAAATTTTTAGAGGAGATGGTAGTAGCGCCTGACTTTCAAGTGATTCTTGGCGATGGTTATGGCAAAGACGGTGGGCTAGAGGTCGAGCCAGTTGAGATGAAGTTGTTGTGGCTTGGGAGTGCATGAAGGCATAATTTGGAATTGTGTTGGATTTTAGTTTAGGATTTAGGTAAGTTTTAATAATAAAATATGTAAATCGGTTGAGGCATATGCTTCATGCTAGTAAGGCGAGGCGCGCCTCAAGGCATACCTCATAAAAAAAGCTCGAGGTGTAAGCCTCGAGGTGTTTTTCATTGGAATTGTGTTGAGGCGGGCCTCAAGGCGAGTTTGATATTGCGCAATTTTAAACAATGGAATCTTCCAATATGCTATGTTTTGAGTTCTCCATAAGCACTTTTGGTTTCATTGAGTAATGATTTATTCCATCTTGTTAGTTTGTGTAGTAATGGTAGTTGTAAATACAAGGACATCAACATTTTCATGGAAGTTAAAGTTTCACTTGTAAAAAGACCACTTATAAAAGGGTCGAGATGCTTCAATAAAATATTAGATATTCAATGTCGGACATTTGGCAAATTAAATTTGATGAAACTCAATCAAAGCTCATTTTTCTTAGAATTTTTGTAAGGAACCATTGATATTGCAAGTTGATGTTGAAGTTCTAGTCCAATTTTCATAGTTTTAAAATCACATTCATTAATGTCACGACCTAACCCGAGAGATTGGAATACATCGGCAGGTTTAAATTCTTTCTAATCAACATTACTAGTACTATAACAACAACAACAACAACAACAATAAAAACAACAACAACATCAAGCCTTTATCCCACTATGTGGGGTCGCTTACATGAATCATTTTTCTCAATTGTCCTGTTAAGAGTCAATTCTCATCTAAATCTAATAAAGAAAGTTCATTTCTAATATTTTCTAACCAATTCTTTTTAGGTCTACCTCTACCTTTCTTAACATAAGTCAAATCTAATACATCTATTGATGGGGACATCAGGGCATGGAACGTACATCAGAGGCGTGGTCATCGATCTACGACCACGATCGCGTCGATGTATTTTATGTATTTGTTTTATTATGTTATTTGTTATTTATGAGTATTTATTTTTCCCGTTTTTACCCCTTAAGGAAAGTCGTTTGTAAGCCCTAAGGTCAAGGTCGTCTTTTATCTTTGAGTCCTTTTGTATGAGGCTATTTACGACCCTTATGTTCATCTTCTATAGTTAATGATTGAATGATAAAAAATTTGTGATATTGCTTGAGTTCTTGAGAGACCTTGAGAGTGCTTGGAGAGAGAGAGATCCCTAGGAAAGGGAATTTGGATCACCCACCAACCTTGGAGATGGTCAGGTTCGTGGTTCTTCTTCTTTACCTCGTTGTCAGTTGTCACCCTTTCTTCATCCCATAGCCGCCGGCCAAGGGTTCTCCTGGATCCCTAAGTCGCTGGCCATCTAGCCCCACCAACACCCGTCGCCTAGGTCCCCCACCCCATCCCCTCCCCACGGCCAAACCTACCCCCCGCCGGCCCCCTTGGCTTTTTTCCCCCGCCTATATGCCACCATGCCTTTCCTAAATTAGATTTCATGATTTTGGTAACTCTATTTATGATTGAATTCAAATTTATTTTAATTTCAAATAGTTGCCTAATTTATGAAATCCTATTTTAGGAAACCTACTAAATCCCTTCATATTTAAATTATAAATTAAGATGGGAAGAGATATTTCTTTCCAAACTTAATTCAATAATTTAAGTAAGCATTAAAGACCTCATTAAACACCTCCCTCCCAAGCAAGCCGCCGGCCCTAGCCTCCTTTCCCCTCTTGAGTTCCATTACCTATTCTAGATTGACATAATTAGGACATATTTTGAATTCAAATCCACCTAATTTGAAATTTAAAATATTTCCTAAATTATTAAATCTATTTATGAAAAGTTTCCTAATTGACCCCTAATCAAATCCTAATCAAATTTAAATTAAATTTGAATGAAGCCTTTTGCCTTATGAGGAGTTCTCTTATTTGGAAGGTGTTTAATTCCTCCCCAGTTAACTCCAAACCCTCGTTATAGCTGCTGGCCCCTCTCTCCTTGCCATTAATTCTCCCTCTCTCTTTGGAATAATTTCAAATTCCAAACCCCTAAATCCTCCACACTCAAATCTGAAATTCAAACTTTAGATCTTGATTATTCTCCTCCTCTAACCTAACCCTAATGCCAACGTGTGGCTCCCTACCTATGGCCGGCCATCTCTCCCCCTCTTTCCCTTTGGAATTTGCAAGATGAGTTCCTCTCTCCATAGGAACCTTCAAGGAAGTAGCAACCATCGTCTTCAACACATCAAGTCTTGTCTTCCTCTCTAGTTGAGATTTCAAGGAATATAACAATGATCGCCTTCAACACTGAGAGAAACATCTCTCTCTAGGTAAACCACGACAAGGGTGGATTTCTTCCCCTTTTAATTTTTTTTTCTAATCCCCTAATCTTGTAGGTGATAACGATTCACAAGAAGTTGTGCTTCACCTTTGCCTAAGCTTAGTAAACGTAGGGTTTTGTTTCGCTGTTGTCCAAAACCTAGTAAATGTAGGATTGAGTGTACTTTCAATGCTTCTAATCTTATTGTTAGATTAGGAATTTTGTTGAAAGCTATTTCATTTGCATGTTGTGTAATCTCTTTGTTGTTTTGATACTTCAAGCGCTTATTGTGCAACTTGGCCTAAACAGAAGTGACCGCTCTTATGTTTTATTTTGTCGTTTTAATTTGTTAATAGTTCTAATCATAATTATTTTTATCAAGAAATCGTGCGAGTTCTTATCATATCACTTTAAGCATTGTAGTCCTACATCATCTACTTTCCTAACCGGGTCATCGTAAGGCTGCCGTTTTATGTGACCAAACCTTCTTAGGCAATTCTCTCTAATCTTATATTCCACTGGAGCTACTCCAACCTTTTCACGTATATGCTCATTTCATATCCTGTCTGATGAGGACATCGTCAGCAACTTCGACACATGTACCATTATGAGACGCCGGAGATTGACGGCCACGATCATGAGCTGTATTTTTTGTCATTTTATGTAGTAGTTTATTTTATTTTTTATGTTTTTCCGCTTTTGCCCTCATGGGTATTTAGTCGCTATTGTAGCCCAAGGGGCATTTTAGTCTTTTGTTTTCTTTGTCATTTGAGGCCTATATATATGGCAATTTTCTCATGTAATGGAAGTTTTGATGAATGAAAAATATTACTTTTTGTTCGCTTTGTGAGTGCACTTCTCCTAGAGCTCTTAGTTAGTTCGACGGAGAAACTATATCTCTTTGTGAGTTCTAGATTTCGTCCAAGTTATTTGTGTGGAAATCCGGGTTGAAGATAATTGAGGTTAGTAAATTCGTAGTCGCTCGAATCCCTTGAATTTTCCCTCTCTTCCTCCCCTTGTAATTGCCGCCGCCTAGCCCTGAGCAGTCCAAGCCGCCGGCCAATTGGCTGCCAAATCCCGTCGGCCGGCCACCCCACGCCGTGACCCACCCCTTGCCCTTCCTCTAGCCGCCGGCCGCCCCTTCCATGGAGCTTCAAATTTTGAAATTTCAAATTGTCATGAGCCATTAATTGTTTCCTAATTTAGCTCCTTAATTTACGCCATCAATTTAATTGATTTTCAATTTCGAATTTGAAATTCAAATTGTTTAAATTGATTGCCCTCCTAAATGGAAGTTTTCTCTCCTTAAGAAAACTGAAGTTTTATTTCAGATTTTTGTAAAAATTTGAAATTAAATTGGTGGTCCCCACTTATTCAAAACTCACCCCTCTCTCCTCCTCATGTGGCCGGCCCCCTTAATGGCCTCCTCTCTCTCTCCTAATCACCTTAATAGCTCCACAAAATCAGCCCAAAGTTCACCCTATTGCCACCCTCCATTAACCCCTATTGGAATTAATTTGAATTCTTCAAATTCATTCCCTCCCACACAAAGAAACTGAAATTATTTCAGATTTCATTCAGTTTTATTCCTTGGAGCCTTTCTCTACTCAAACTTCTCAAGTGCTCAAGCCAATCCCACCTTCCTCCACCAACCCGCCACCTTCTTCCCCTCTTTTCCCACTTCTTTTGTGCATCTTCCCGCACGACAAGGATGCATGTCAGAACCCGAATGGAACTTTGGATTTGTACATGACGATCGAGATCAAGTTGACATCCTCCAATCACCGTTCTTTGACGTGGGCTTCGATTTTGACGACACTATTGAAGATTACATCGACCGTATCCATTACACATTAGTTGATGTGATCGACGAGCAAAAGATCAAAGGGACGTTGGATCATCATTGGACGACCGTCATCCTCCACCACTCCGGCCGCCTATCCAAGAACGACGATCTTAGGCTCCTTCTTCCTCGGAGTGACCTCGGTTCTAATGTGGAGACTCTTCTTCCGCTAAAGCCTAGAGTAGTTGAGCGTATGGCCTCCAAAGGTGAAAGTTCTCATTATTAAATCATGGATTCTTGTGTATCGTCGTAGTTTTACAATTGCTCTTTGCGTTTTCTTGAATTGTTTGGGAATCGGCTTTGCTCTTCTTTGCCTAAGCAAGTTAAAAACCAAGAATTCTAAGGATCAATCGTTGTTATAAGTAATAATTTTATTGTAGAAACACTTTGTTAATTTGCTCTCTTTAATTTCCTAACTCCCGCTTTGTTTCACATCACTGTCACTAAGAGTAAAGCTACTCATCCACCTGAGCATCCTCATATCTGCAACACTTAACTTAATATTATGCTTCTCTTTTAATGGCCAACATTCTGCACCATAAAGCATTGCAGGTCTTACCACCCTCTAATAGAATTTTCCCTTAAGTTTGAGAGGGACTTTTCTATCATACAACAAACCCGACACATTCCTCCACTTCAACCATCCAACTATAATTCTACTAATAATATCACCATCTATCATACAACAAGCCCGTGCCTAGTTTAGTTTGTTTTCATTCTAGTGGCTGTGGATACTTAGTACTGGGAATGTGGAGGATGCTGCTGCAAAAGCAGTTAGACCAGTGAATTAGTGCCCATATCGGCCAATTTTGAGTTTTTTCCGAATAATTTTTTGGAGTTGCATAGCTTGCCCCTTTTTTCCAGAAGTTTTGTGCTTATATGCTTTACCTATTATGTTTTTTTTCCTTAATAAACTAAGGCCTCATTTCTAATGGCTAATCATGCTACACATGTTAGTTTTTGACATTCTATCTGCCTATAATGGAAAATAACGTGGACCCCTAATAAATAATGTAGTACAACCACTACTCTACCCACTCCCCATCCTTATTCGTATGAGCATTTATGGAACAATTTTGCTGCAGTACATGTTAGAAATATCAAATAGGTACTGATATGTAATATGGTTGTTCGATCATATGTAATTCTTAGTTATGCTGGAACCTGATATGGATGAGTCAGCATATTACCTTGAAATTTTGTGCCATCCTTAACTTAACCACGTCAAATAAAATCCAGTGGAGCGCTTAACTTTTGAGGAGTTTTTCAACCACCAATTTCTCTCACAATCCAAAGCAGATGAACCGTTGAGGTAAGCATTTTGGCTTGGTGGTTTTCCATAATTTCTTGACTGATGTGTTTGGGTTTTGCTTTCAAGTTTATTAATATTTTTCTTATTCTGAGCAGTGGAACCTCATGTGTTAGAACAGTTGAACGCACGTCTAGACAGACACTGGGTTATCAAGAAGACTGCATGCCTTTTCCTCTAGAAGATAAAGATGGTGGACCTGATCAAAGCCTGACGGCACGAATGAATAGTTCTGTTAGGTCCACTTATGGTTTTCATGTGGGAGCAGATAAAGACTCGTTTAATAAGCCTTCAATGAATTTGGGTGTTCTTTCCAAGCATAGCTTCCCAAATAAAATGGAAACATCTGGTTATTATGAGCATGATTCTTACAGACATTTGAGTGGAAATATGAAGCAAATCAATGCTTCTTCAAAAGGCACCAAACATGGTATAATCCTTTGCTTGTTTGCACGTACTCAACTTTTCTGCTATATGACCTTTACTAAGACTTTTCTTCACGTGTTCTTAGATCACAGATTTATGGATTCATTAGATTTGGTTGATCAGGAATATGTCATGGTTCCTGAACCATCCCTGGAGATGCCATCCTATTCATTAAGCTTTCCAGAGTCGCAAAACTCACCATATAAACTAGATAGCTCGCTGATGGAAACTAAAAAAAATAGTGGATTAAGTGTACCAGTGCCAATTGTAAGTGCTGCAATCACTAAGATCAATACCATTGGAAGCCTGGAAAGTCACAGCTCACCAATTTCTGGTACGTCTCAAGGATCCTTGGATGTTGGGGATACTTTTGAACAGCCATCAGTTCACTACGTTACAAGAATTAGATCATTGCAACAATGTGGCTCTGTTATATCTGAGTTGGTGAAGGGAGAGGTATGACCCATGGTGGAACCAAATTTGTTTTCTTTCGCATGTGAATGAGTTTCCATTAATCTATGCACTAGAAATCTACATATTATCGAATTTAGCCCTTGGTGCAGGCATTTGGATTCCGGTGTAAAGCTAGTCCTTTTACTCAACTTATGCTTTAACTGAATAGTTCGTTTATGAGAATGACTTGTAGCATTTCCATTGTTCTGTATTCATTTTTATTATTGAGTTTATAGTTTCATGATGTCAGTGGCATTTATCCCTGTAGAATGGAGGAATGGTCTATTCTACCCTGACATAATTCCATGTGCTCACTAACTAAATATTCATCATAGTTGATTTTTTTTTTATATTCATCATAGTTGATATTCCTCTCTACAATCACTAGCTTTTCATCTGTCAACCATCCGTTTTAAAACTAGGTGTTGGGGATTTTTGGATAATTTTAGTCATTTTACGGAGTTAATTAATGCAATTCAAGAGGGAAGTGCATTGGGTGTGTAAATTTTTTGCGCTCTATAATTTCCTTAAGAAACTCTTCTCAACTCAAATCCCATGAAACAAGCACAAAGATAATACTATAGTAATAAATATACACAACATAAAGAAATGCAACAAATAATAAATACATTTAAAAGGGGTGAAAAAACCTTCACAATCTCTTCCTTCAAAAGGGAAGTGTACTCGCACTTTCATAAGGGGAACAACCTCGAAGTTATTGCTAAACAAACTCTGTAGGATACCTTTTCTAAAATGCTCCAACACTTCGATGGTGACTTTGAAGTGAACTATCCTAATAAATAATTTATTTTGTGCTTTTAGGTATTTGAATTGTGCACCTACACTTTGGTGGTGACTACATTTATACCTCAACTTTAAATTTCAAAGGCTCCAAATGCTTAATAAAAGTTCATTGTCTCCATGGTTTAGCCGGAAGTTAGCAAATCATTAGATGATACTACATAGAAGCTTGTTATCATTAGTCATTACTGTGTCGCATGAGCCACGTGGGCTCATAGACTTAAACAATTTTTTGTTGCCCTACAATCTAAGTTCCTTAGGATGTGATTTTCGTTTTGCTTTTAATTTGTTTTGGGCTATGATGTTTAACATATTGTTATTGTTTGGACTGTGATTTTAAAACATGACTTTCAGAGTGAAAATGGGAGACAATTGGAGGCATTCTCTGTTCAGTTAGTACTTCTAGCAATCTGGAAGCAAGCTCTGAACATCTGTCACAGGCAAGCTACTTTTTCTATAGAAGGTTGCCCTTCTCATGAGTTTAAATACCAAGAAAACATAAATGCTTCTCCTAGTGCTAGACACTGCTTTAGAAGCAGTGAGTCTGAAGTGACGGATCTTGTTTCTTCCGAAATTGAGAAAGAATTTCTTCTTTCAGTGGAGCATGCTGAGGAACTTGAAAAGGCCATGGGACAAGTAGATGGTATGACTATTATTTCTTTCTTTGTTATAGATTATATTGTTTGTCGCTCACACCTAGTTTTATCTTTTCACAGAAGCTACAGAGATGCCTGATGCGATTGAGATAATTTACCAAAATGCATTGGCTTTGGGAAGACTTGGTGCTGTGAGCAAAAAAATCTTCTTTTTTGTTTTATGCCATTTATATCATTTTGTTATGGGTTTTATTTATAGTTTCGCATAGCACGTTTCGTCAAGAAATTTTCTATTTGTGATAAATACTCATCTTTCGGTTGTTCATTGCTTGATCTTACTATTTTGGTTGATGTTGTTTATTAAATAATATATTTGACTTTTTGAGGACTTGCCTATTGGTCCTTGCATTTTATGATGGTCTTGTGTAATCTGTCTGGTTCTAAATGTGTGCTTGAGTACAAACGTGACAAAGAAATATGCAAATTGGATTTTGGAAATAATGTCAAAAATTTATCAATAGTTTGCTTAAAAAGTTAGATAACATTTTAGTATATTTACTCGAAGAAATATTGATGCAATGCAAGAAATGCATACAAAATAATTTTAGCGTGCTTTTAGAATATTATATTATTTTGTTTTATTTAAGAATTTAATTTCTATTCTATTTTGTTTAACTCTAGTATTATTTTTATTTTGAATTATATGATAAGATTTATAATTTATCTTGATATAAATTCTAGCTTCAATTTGATTTTGCATTGTAACCCTATTTTTATGAATATATGTTGAATGCACGACATAAATGAATTCAGAATGAAGTTTGAAAGAATCTATGCTCTATTCTCACCTCTCTCTCCCTTCTAAACCAATTTTCTTTCCTATTTCGTCCTAATATCTCTCATAAAAAACTGGTTCTTGAACCCTCTCTCTTCTCTCATCATCCCTTTGAGAGAAATATGCTGCACGAGGTATATGATTTCACCCCCTCAATCTCTTCATTGAATCAAGAGCTCAATTTGTTTCCCCTCTCTAATTCTTCTTCTTCCCAAGTCTTTTACATCCAAATGGGATACTTAAGCTAATTTTAAGAGAAAAGAAGAAAAGGATCAAGAAAAAGATCTATGTAGATTATGTATCAGGGTTGAATTTCATGACATTGTTCTAGAAAAGAATTGGGTTAATAATGCTTATATTCAAGCCATTAAGAATAGATATACAAGAGCTTTAACTAGTGTTCAAACACAAGGTGTTTTGACCAAGTATTTTCCTATTTGAGTTGGATTACATCAAGGATCAGTCTTTAAGCCCTTTTTTTTTTTTGCTTTAGTCATGGATGTTCTCACTAGACATTTGTAAGAGGTTGTACATTGATGTATGTTTTTTGCTAATAATATTCTTCCTGTTAATAAGACTAGAGAGGGAGTTGAAGGCAAACTTGAATTATGGAGGTCAACCTTAGAGTATAAAGGTTTTCATTTGAGTTAATCTAAAATTGAATATATGGAGTGTAATTTTAATAATAATATATCTAGTGGGGGAATTGTGACTTTGACGATCAAGTAATTAACAAGAGTACATTTTAGATTTATTGGGTCTATTGTTCAGAGTGATAGTGAAATAGATGGGGATATTATTAGTAGAATTCAAGTTGGATTGTTGAAGTGGAGGAATGCATCGGGCTTGTTGTGTAATAGAAACGACCCCCTCAAACTTAAGGAAAATCTATAAGATGGTGGTGAGACCTGCAATACTTTATGGTGTAGAATGTTGGCCATTAAAAGAGAAGCATAATATTAAGTTAAGTGTTGCAGAGATAAGGATGCTTAGGTGGATGAGTGACTTTACTCTTAGAGGTAGGATGCGAAATGAGCATATAAGTGAAAAGGTTGTGTTGAACTCTAAAGCAAATAAAAAAAAATCAAATTAAAAATATGCATACCTGCTCGAAATCCTGTTGAAATTTTGCGTATACGGTTGCCCATTCCCTGTGCATTCCGTGCCGAAATCGCCTCCTCACGTTCGTCTCAATCGCGTGCCAACACTCGCTTTTAAAATGAAGAGAAACAGAACCTTACGCTGCTTCTCCCGCTCATAGGCTACGAGCTTTTGATCGCTCAGTCGAAACTCCTTCCTCCTACTTCGCAAACCGAGACCTCCACAAGCCCTAGCCACCGATTGTAGACCTCGACCAGCCAGATCCACCTCACGACTTGCTCCGATTCCCATAACTGCTGCTCCGTCCTTGTTCTTCTTTGGATCCGAACCACCCAGCCCTCCACAAAGTCGAACCACAGCTCCGTCTTAGATGGTTTGGTTACATAAAACGAAGGCCTTCCGATGACCTAGTTAGGAAAGTAGATATATTAGATTTAAGTTATATAACTTATGTTAAGAAAATGTAGAGGTAGACCTAAAAAGAGATGGTTAGAAAATATTAGAAATAATCTTTCTTTATTAGATTTAAATGAGAATTTGACTCTTAATAGAACACAATGGAGAAAAAAGATTCATGTAGCTGACCCCACATTGTGGAATAAAGGATTGATGTTATTGTTGTTGTTGAATTTCATGATCTTAATTGTATCCAAACCTCTGCCACTTTTCCTTATAGCTTGCCATTACTCATCCCTTGTCACCATTATATATATAAAGTCATGGAAGTTGGCTTACCTAAAATGCACTTATTATACTTAGAAAATACTTCACAAGCATGAAAAGTAACGTGTACATCTACTAATTCTTCATATTCACTTTGGAATCGATATTATAATGTATCGATATATTGATCTGTATGAAATACCTTTTCAATGAAAATGTCTTTTTTTTTAAAGAAAAATCAAATTGTCTGCAAATTACACCCTCAGTTTTTATAGCCCTTTTTATCTAATCAGAAACATTTCTGTTCAATGCAGGTTGATGAGATGATGAAAAATATAGAAAGAGCAGAGGATCGCTACTCAAAAGCGGTGTGTTTACTACACTTCCTTCTGGTGGAAGCACCATCCCTCGCTCTCAACCCGCCACTCTCCTTGACAAGCTCTGATCAACTCCGCCTCCGGACTTACATTGATATCATTAGCAATAGACACTGCCAGTCCCGCTCACAAAGAATAGCCCTCCTCAATGAACGCTAGCCAGTTAATTCATTTTTCGACCACCCTTCAAAGAAAAAAAAAAGTACAGTGATTATTTGACCAGTGGCTTTGTGTTCTGGTGCGATTTGTTGTTTGTAGATGGCAATAGTTTGGTGGTTCAAATGTTCAGCAACTTTAGGTAATCATCTTATGCTTGCTTGATTTTAGTTTGATTATGTAATTTATAGCCCTAATTTTTTTTTCTTTGTTCTTGACATCTATAGCTGACTATCATGTTAAGAGTGGCAGGTAGTTTATCTGAAGTGTGCCATGAAACATAATTTCTTGAATCTAATATATTGGATTCGTGCAGGATAAATTGCCTTGATTGTGATATAAAAATATGTAAGAAAGAAAGAAATGTATGTTGAATAAAGATAGACGCTAAAAAAATTTATGTGTTCGTCTGTCTACTGCATGGAAGCATGGGGTATTAAGCTCTTTACACCATTCGAATTACAGCCTCAAATACTTTTTGAATCTGTGCCTATTATTGTGATAAAAAGGTGAAAATTCGTGGATGTTAGTGTTGTTAAATTAAGGCTTCATTTCATCAAATTTATTACTACTGTCAAAATAACATGATAATACAGATCTACAATATTGAATTGATAATATAGCTTTACAGCTAAAATAATGTGATTGGCTCATGCAAGTATTCACTTCAAAAAAATTAACTAGGGCAGCTGTACATCTCTTTGCTATACAGCTGCATCCTAAATTTTATGAAATTTATTTTAATAGTACATTTTAATATATTTTTTTGGATTTAACACGTGTACAATAAAGTTCAGCATGTGAAAAATCTTTATATATATATATATATAAGTCGCATGTTGAACGGGAGAATTGTAAAATTGATGTAAGTCGCCGGTTCAAAAAGTGACTTTGGCGATTTTAAAATTTTTAAATTTCGTTGGTATTTAGTTTAAAAATTTGCCCAGGACTTTAACACCTCTAGGAAGAAATTTTAGATTTGTTCTCTCTTCCAAGGCGCATTTCAAACATAATTAATCATTCATTTTTTCATGATTTCCTGATGCTTGCAATCTAAATCAAGGAGAACACCAAAGGAACCATCCAGCAGCTACGGCAGTTTTCTCTGTTTTTCTTGTACCGTGCTCTTACACTTTTGAATATTTTTTATGTTTTTTTTATATCATCAAAATATGAAAAACCCTAAAGACGAAGAAAAAATATTTTATCATAGATGGAGAAATATTAATTAGAAATACAGTTGATTATAATAGCTCCGTGTTCGACTGTGATCTGCTAGGGCTCTGCCCTAGCTATCGGGCTCAGCTCTCCCGGCGGTGGCCTCCCGCTCTCAATGGCGTTTCTCTTCAGGTGTTCTCTATCTTTTCTCTTCCGTCATTTGTTCGTTTTCTTCGGGCTTTTATGCTCGTACAACTGCTAGGGTTCTGCTTTGCCTTGTCCGTGATTATTTGCGGATATGATTGTCCGCCTCACCGATTCCTTTTTTTAAATGGGTTGTCCTCCTCTCCGTCATTCAAAGATGCTCGAGCTAATGACTCTCATTCTTCGAGTTTCTCGGATCTTAAAATTTCTTTCCACCACGGTATGTCGCTGCTCTGGATTTTGGAAGGTGAAATTTTAGCTCTTGCTGCACCTTTTGAGTTCGCCTTAGCTGGAAAATTTCCGTCTTGCCATCCACTTGAGGCTATTTGCAATTTTTTTTTTCGATTTGAACTTATCTGTGAGGTTTCGGTAACCATTCTCAATTTGAGGAATGTGTTGATTAAGTTGGTTAATGATTTAGATTATTGTAGGTGTTTGCTCACCGGTCTTACTTTGTGAACAATTGTTTTATGAAGTTATTCAAGTGGCCTTGTATGTTTGATGTTGAGGTGGAATCTCCCATAATCCCCATTTGAGTGTCTTTTCCCCATCTTAGACTGCACCTATTCTCACCTCGTATCCTTAATGGTTTAGGTTCCCTCTTTGGCCGGCCTCTTAAAACCGTTCATGCCATTGCTTGTGGCTCTAGGCCATCAGTTGCTCGATTTCTCGTTGAGTTGGATATTACCAAACACTATCCTGACCGGGTGTAGGGTTGTCCCAAAAATTTGGGTTATAGTCATGCGATTGTCATGGAAGAATTCCCTTCTTATTGTTCGCATTGTAAATCTCTTAGCCATTTGATGGTGGAATGTAGTACCCTAAACCATATTCCTCCTATTGTTCCCTCTCTTAATGCGGGTATTGAGGGTGTTTTGTCAACCACTTTGGAGCAAGTCAGTGATAAGGTGGATTTGAATCTATAAAATGAGGTTGTTATTGTTGGTGAGGGTCATTTAGAAATTTCTTCTGATGCTTGTAGCTTGGGTTTGCCCGATTCTATGGTTTCCCTTGCGACTGCTTTGGTTTGTGATGTTGGGCTTCCTAAGCCAATGGTTTTAGCCTCTGATGGTTTGGATGCTGATGGTTTGAAGGAAGTGGATTCTCATATCGTTATTTCTGATTATCTCATACGAGAAGTTGATGATTCTCTAGCTGTTATTGGGTTGAATTCTTTGTGTTTTACTCTAATTGTCTCTCATATTTTGGAAGTGGTTAAACATGGAATTGTGTTGTGTTAACACAATGGTAGTAAATGATTCATTAAGTGAAATGCCTAATGTTGATGTTGAACCTATTATGTCCTCTTCTTCATTTATAATTTTTGATTGCACGGTTGAGATCCCTATTTCTATTATTTCTAATGAGGATTTAAAAGCTTAATTGGATATGCCTTTGCGTGATTCTTGTGTGAACCAGTCGGATTGGCTTGAAGATCACTTGTCCCCGCTTGGAGAGGGTGAGGGGGAGGATTTGGAGGTGGTCGAGGAGGATTTTGATGCTTTGTTTAACTTGAATGTGAATCACATAGTTGAGAAGGCCTTCTCCCATAGAGGTGGTAAACGTCGGGGGCGTAAAACCAAAAGGAAGTAACTATGGTTGTTCTCTTTTCGTTGGGGACCTTCTTTTGAGTTGTTGGTCATTCTGTGTCACTTTGTTGGATGGTTAGAGTTCGGGTTTTTGATGTTGTGCTTGGTTTTATTTTGGGTGGATGTGGTGTTGGGGATTGGATTAGCGGTTGCTGCATTTTTTATGGGCAATGATGTGGCGAGTTTTTGCTCTCCACATGGACTGCTTAGGCTTGTTGGCAACCATTGGTGGTGACTCAGATTGTTATATTTGGTGGTCTTATTTGTGTTGTTTCTTCTTCTCTTAGTTGCTTCTTGGTGGATTGTTGCTGGTATCTACCTATGGATGGTCCTGGCCCTAACGTCTGGGTGGTTGCAGGAACTTTGTGCCAATTTTGAACCAGGCTGGCTATCTCGTCTTTTCTGTTTTTTGCGGTGTTTTTTTTAGTAGTTAGATTAGTTGTAACCTCTTTTTTTATTGGAATAAAATCATCCTTTCTTTAAAAAAATAAAAAAATCATAGATGGAGAAATATTTTACAACAAAATTGATGAATAATATATTTTGAACGGTTTTGAAGAAATATTAAGTAAATATATATAATTTCAAAAAAAAAAATGTAACTTAGCACACAAATGCCATTCATTTTATTTATCCTTACAGTAGTTGTCTAATCAAGAATCTAGCTAGATCTAGAAATGAGCTTGGAGAGCTATATATCATACTAAGCTGGCAATAAAAACTCTTGTAAAAAATTTAACTTCCAAAAGTTTAGGTTTCATTTCAAAGACTTAATACTGAGGAAACATACCATCAAACCAAACAAATCAATAAAAACGTAAGATCCAATACCACACATAAAAAAAAAAGTTACAATTTATTATCAATACAACAATACCTCAAATAGATATTTATTCTTATAATTCTGACAACACATTCATGAACCTAAAACCTTAAAAGATGAACTATTCTGTGTGGATGCCGAACGTCGTCTAGAGCCCAATGAAAATGTGCCATGTCACCCCCTTACTCGATACCGCGGCTCGGTACTAAATGACGTGATTGCACCTGATTCTCCTCTGGACAGTAAGCTATATCCGATGTCCGCACAGAATGATCTCTCTTGCTTGTCCAAGCCCTCAAGTATTTCACGCAGTCACAGTGGCCCATAATGGGCTGCTGTAGATTGCCAGGTCACGATCTCGTTGGATGACAAGAGCATAATTACCAACTGTACCATTAGTTTTGGTTTCCCAAACGACCTTCTGCTTATCATCATGGATGATGAGATTGCCATCAGTCTGCATGGTGAGCTCACATCCTGTGCCTTTGCCTTGCGTAGAGGAAAGCCATACAACTTGACCCGCTGGTCCATAAAGAACAAGATTGCAATCTTCTTGCATTTTTAAATTGTAATTAGCATCTGAAATATTCTCACCAGTTTTGAGTTTATCACCGGATAAAAGGTGGTTCTCAGCTCTGCCACCAATTGCAAGAAGGCCGATGGTGATGACGACCATCGCCATGAGGAAGGAGGAGCGGAAAGATATCTCAATGGCAGCCATGGATGCTCCTCCTAAGTGATTGAGATTAGGTTGCATTTGCTGCTTGGAGTTCTCAGCTCATTTATAGATGAATATATGATGATGATTGCCGGCTAGATTGTGATGATCAACATTGACTTGGTTAAAATGGTTCTCTTTTTGAATTGTTTATTTGGCAAAAGACCGTAACATTTTGCTTTCTTCTTTCTTAGAAATATAGGGTTTTCAACAAGTTCTCTAGTTTGCAACATTTGGCACCTCTGTTATTGCGGAGACTTGTTCTCATTTACAGAAACTTCTGAAATTTGAATAACATAATAGTATGTAAATTATATCATCATTGCTCTAGAGAAGTTGATTTTTGTGATATTTTTGATATAATTTAGAATGTTTTGAGTAAATATTAAAATTTTGTATAGATTTTCCAGAGCTGTTACCATGAAATTCAGAGGGAGTTGTTGGTGGTATATAATCTGTAAATGTTCAAGGACTCCATCAGCGGTTTATTATATTGATGATTGTTTATTTAAGGCTATTGCTAGCTAATATTATATTCTCATTTCAAATTTTCAATTACATAGCAATTTGTCAGGTCTAAATTTGAATAGATGAACTATTCAATGGAAGATGATAACGGTTCAATATTTTCTTAAGGTTTCATTTAAGACAATTTTCTTATTATTTTTTAAAATAATTCTTAGTTTAATAATTATTTTAATTAGAAATTTTTATGCTGAAAAGTTACTTTTAAAAATAGTAAAAAAGTTGTCACAAACCAAGCATAAATTTGATGTCAGACTTCTACCATATGAGAGATTATTCTGTGTGGACACTGGACGGGAAGCATCGTCCGGTTTTGTCTCAGTGAATAGTAAAAGCGCACCTAGACAAATTGGACGGTGCTACCCGTTCGATGTCCGCACAGAATAATTCATCCTTCCATAGGGGCAATAAATATTGAAAAAAAAGGCAAATCACATTATTACAATTTTTTTTAATAAAATAAATATCAAATTATCAAATCAAAATAAATCTAATAATTTCTCTTATATTTCTCATACATTTCTCTCAAATTAAAATAAATTTAAAATCCATTCTAATTTAAATTTAACCCAAATTTTTTTCTTTGTGATTTTTTTATTTAAAAAATCTAAATCTAAAAGAACAGCATTAAAAGCTAATATGCCGGTTAATAGGCATAAGTAAATGGGTTCTATCATAAGCTCGCGCGATGCCCTAGCCACCTCTTTTTCGTCTCCGGCTCTTCTCCGGCGCCGAGCTTCCGATGGCTAATAAACGGTTAGATCCCGGTTTTTTGGTGGGTAAGCATTCGAAATCTTTCAAAGATGCTTTGTCTAGTGTTGAAGCTTCAAATAGTTTTCCGGATTTTCGTTTTTCTACGATCCGAGGGTTGCCGGCTTTGTGGTTTTCTGATGAAGAATTTATGCATCTAGCCAAACCTTTTGAATTTGCTTTGGTGGGGAAATTTCCTATTAAGCGTCCGGATTTAGACTCTATCCGAAAATTTTTCTTTAACCTAAAATTGTCCGGTGATTTCTCTGTCACTGTGCTGGATCAATCAAACGTTCTGATTAAGCTCTCGAATGATCTTGATTATGGAAGGATTTTCGCTCATCGCTCTTATTTTGTGTTTGGTTGTTTCATGAAAATCATCAAATGGTCTCCTCTTCTGGATTTGTCGGAGGAATCTCCTATCGTTCCTGTCTGGGTCTCTTTTCCTGGTCTGCGCCCGCATCTTTTCTCCCCCCAAATCATGTTTGGTTTGGGATCAATCCTTGGTCGCCCTATTCAAACTGATAATGCTACTGCTGTGGGTTCTCGACCTTCAGTAGCTCGTCTTCTTGTAGAATTGGATATCTCCAAATCTCACCCTGATTCGGTTTGGCTGGGTCCGGAGAATTTAGGTTATGTTCAAAAAATTGTTTATGAAGGTTTGCCTAATTACTGTTTACATTGCAAGGCCGTGGGGCATAAACGAACGGAATGCATTAAGCTTTTCCCCAATCTTTGTCCTAATGTCAATGTTGTTCCCTCGGTGGCTGATCCGAATCTTAATCCTGCTGGGACCTCAGTCAAGCCTATTACTTCTAATATTTCCCCTCTTTCTGCTTGTGATATGGTTAATGTTGAAATTCCTCTTCAGTTATTCAAATTTAACAAGCGAAAACGTAAATGAAATAGATTATTCAGCCATGACTACATCAAACTACTAAATTTTGCCTAATAACAACATAAACGACAAAATCATCACAAACTTATTACCTAACTGTAGCGTGAAATTTAACTATTCAATCGGCTTCCTTGCGCCAAATGGTGGCCAACAGATAAATGTTCGCCGGCAGCAATTCTATCATCTCGCTACGTCTATAAATGAAAGCCAAAGCTTTTCAGAATACACGCCTCAATCAGCACATATTGCATCATCCATGGGCGCAAATTTGATCTTCTTCCGCTATGTTTTCCTCTTTCTCGTGGCCAGATTTCTAGTGACTGAAGCTGCAGAATATAACCATTTGTTGGTTGGCGATACGCTTAAAATTGGCGAAAAGCTGACGGAAGGTAATTATAACTTGATTATGCAACCAGATTGTAATCTTGTCCTCTACCAAGAAAACCCAAACGAAACAGTATGGTCCAGCAAGACCGCCGGCCAGGGCAATATGTGCGCGGCAACTTTGAAGACCGATGGAAACTTTGTCATCACTGATAAAAACGGAACTGTCGTAGGGCTAACTGCAACTAACAATACAGGGAGTTTTTATGTTTTTGTTCTGCAACGAAATCGCAACGTTGTGCTCTACAGTAAGGCGATATGGAGTTCGGTGACAAATATTGATGATCAGTCTTCTGGATCAAATAACCAAGCGATAGAATGGCGTTGGTTGAAGGGACTGATGCTTTTGGTGGCTTGCATTTGTGCGATACTGTTCTAATTTTATTTTTTTGGGGTTTATTGAGATCTTGGATTAACAGTATTGTAAGTTTATGTTTTTTGGTTTAAATGAAGGCTTCTTATATGTTTGATTAATAAGGTCTTGGTATGTATCGGACTTCGTCGAATATTTGTTGGTTATTAAGGGTTGTGTGTGCTGTTCTCGATAAGAAAAAAATAGCGGAAATTTTTCTCAAAATTTGAATTTTAACATAAGATTGTATATCATCAAAAAATTATCTAGATAAGGCACGGATCTGGAAGCAAAATCAAGTTGGAAATTTCAAAAATTAAACTCAGGATCTTATGAACTTTGATTTCAGCAAACTTATAGTTGAACTGAACGTCTCGGAAATACGAATCCAACGACACAAAATTCGACTCAATTCGAGCACAACTGGGTTCAAATCTAAGACCCGAAGCTCATTTGAAAAGTTCAAGCTATAAATTGAATAACCAAACGATTTTAAAAGGTGTCATGCTTATAGTCAAATTGAGAGTCTCTAAGAGACAAATCCATTGAGCCCAAGATCATCAAATTATGATATCATTAAGACATTCAAATGCCAAGTAATCGGTCTACAATCAAGGGGATCAACATCATCCGTCCATTCAAACCACTCCCAACATACCTTTGTTCTCCATTCTATTTATTGGTCATACGACTCTCAGAAAATTATAAATTGACCTCTCATTCCTCATGGAAGGGGACTTAAGCAAGGAAGAGAAGGAAGAGAGAGAGAGAAACTAGAGTTCTCTTATCACTGGACTCCTCGACCACCGTTGGACTTTCGCCCGACCACCGACTTAAGCCGGACTTCCGCCCAACCGCCGATTGACGCAGACTTCCACCCGATCACCGACTAACGCCGAATTTTCGCCCGACCACCAAACGTCGTCGGATTTTTGTCCGATCTTCGTTCGTCATGAGATTCTAAACCAACGGTTGACCATTGTAATATGATCATCCTCAATTTCAAGGATGAACCTATCACTTGTAATATATTCAAAGACTAGTGAAATTATTTCAACTTGGCGTGACTCCATGATTTTCTCCTTTTTTAGAGTTTTTCACGTAAAAAATATTATGGTTCTTTTTATGTTTTGGATATACATACAATGCTGATACGTAAAATTTTAACTATATCGCTGCGTATATTCTAGCCCGCAACAATTACATGTTACAAATTTTGTGATGAATAGAGTATTTAATATCTTAATTTTATTCAAATATTCAGTGACATATTCAAAATTTTTTCTTGTGGCTGCACAAATTATCAATTTTAAAAATACCTCAACCTTTTTCGTGCATACTCGGAAACTACATTGTTAGTTTGAAAAAAGTTTTTGTTGGAGTTATTATCATAAAAAAAATTTAAATTATCTTATAGAGAAAAACTTACAATGGATAGCATCAATTATTCATATTCTATTTACATGTCTACTACAATTTTTTTTTTCTCTTGAGTCTTTATATTTTTCTTCTCCACTAATTGTTATACAAGCTATTCAAATTATTTTCTTCATAACTATAAAATAAAAAAATAAAAATATATATCATATAACGATCTACAATTAAATAAAAAGAATATACTTATTTTAATAATATAATTATATTTTAAAAAATTAAATAGCAATCCAAATATGAATATTTTAACTTGAATCGAAGATTACAATCCTCCTATCAATGGCATGCACAACTTTAATTTACTGGATTCGCTTCTTTAAAATTCATGTGAAAGAGATGCGAAATAAAAAAAAAAAAAAGCTTGGTTGGAGATGAGTTATTATATTTTGAAGTAAAAAATGAATTTTCCCGTTTGGAGATGCCCTAAAGATGACTTGGACTTGAGGGGCGTGGAGGTGGGATATGATTGGGTAGGGAGAGGAACCTCCGAGAAGTTATGGTATTAAAAACCTCCATTAGCGAGGGGGTGGAGAGTCGAAGATCTCCCAGGGTCGCGACAACTAAGCGATGGTAGGCATCGATGGGATGGTCATCGATGAGGAAGATCGAGGAGAGCGATGCGAAGTTTTTTTTTGGTGTGGTTTTAGTTTTTGTTATACTAAAATGAACTAGCTTGTTCTAAAAAAATTTGTTTTGACCTAGTTGGGGCTCGTGCCCCGACAACCATCACCATGGCTCCATCATTGCAAAGATTTAACATACACATATAAAATTTATAAAAGATTAGAATTTTTTTTACGTGCAAAACCCAAAGAAGAGAAAAACCTTATCATCCGACCTTATTTTGATAGTCCACTAAATAGTTATTAGAACAATATGCTATTTTTCACAATTGAAGAAGACATGATTACACACTTGAGAATTATTGTCTAATTCCCATTATAGCAATTACAGAAGTCGGTTGTCTACAAACATATACTTGAAATCAAATAATGAGTTTGGATGTTAGTAGTCAGGCAATAATAGTCGAATGACACAGGTTAAGTGATAGTAGTGGCGGCGATTACTGGAGGTGATTGATGAAAAATACAATAGAGTTTTTTAGCTCTCTCATTTTTCGAATATTTTTTATGTAAAAAATGAAGTCATATTTATAGCTTTTCTAATAGAGACGCTTTAATAAATTTGGACATAATCTAAAATACTATATTAAATGACTCATATTGATCACATTGATTATATATTATTTATTTGATATTTGAGTATCATAATGACCTCAAAATTATATAATTCAATTTTGGGTTCATTAGATTTATCTAGTTGAGCTGCTTGACTACATCTATGCAGATGTTGGAGACCATTTAGTCATTCAATAAAAATGTTGAAGTTTTATTTAGGTTCATCTAGACTCAGATAGGATCACTTGTGTGTCACCAAGTTCATCTCATTAAGATAGTCAATTCAAACATAAGTTTGTTGTCAGAGTTTGTATAGTCTTTAGTAAAACTTTGAAAGTTTTTAATTTAAATAATGATTAAGAATCATGCTAATCTAGTAAATTTTCTTGAGACATTATTTTAACCCCCAATTTTTTAGCATCGAAGCTCATGCCATTCAAAAGTGTTATAGAAATGGCTAGATTCTTTTTTTTTTTTTTTTAAAAACTCACAGAAAGGTCTACGTGTTGCATAAAGATAGAAGTATAAGTCCTTAAAGGATTAGAAGCTCACTAAATGTACAACATTTAAAATAAAACTTATAGAGCTTTAGATCCTATCTATTACGAATAAGAGAACCAGAAAAATAAAAGAAAGCGATAAACCCAAAAAATAGAACAAGGGGTCTAGGAATGACTATATTCTATTGAGACCTTTGAAGATATTCTTTTAGGTTGGAAATCTAACTTGTTTATTTTAAAATATAATTTTGAGTGAAATTTTTAAATTTTTTATGTTCTTGTGTTTTTTTCCATCAACAATTTAATATTTGCCCTAACTTCTTCTTATAAATCCTATGACTTCAAAAGAGAAAACTCTTTTGGGGGAATAATAACATGTTGTTTTAAAGCTTTCAACTTATTGAGTTCTGATTAAGATTTCATTTGAGACAATTTTCTTACTGCTTTCTAAAACAATATTTTAATACAAAGATTTCAAATTTAAAAAAATTTATACTAAAAAGATATTTTAGAAAGCAAGAAAAAAAAACTGTGCTAAATGAAGCCTAAGATATTTCTAGGGAGATTTCAACGACGCTATTCTTTGTGCTGACATCTGAAAATACTATACTTTTTGTAAGAAAAATTATTCTGTCGGACGCCGAATGCCGTCTGGAGATCAATCAGAATGTGCCACATCACCCTTTTACTGTACCGCGGCTCGGTACTGCTCGGTACCGCGGTATCAAAATGTAGAGCTACGTCCGGCGTCAGCAAAGAATAATTTCTCCTTTTATGGACCAATTTTTTATTTTATTTTATTTGTCAATTCAATCTTATTTATCTGCTTCTATTAGGTAGAAATTTTACCAAGCCCAATTATAGTGAAATCGGAATTGTTGCAAGACTTCACAAATTTCTTATTTCTCTGATTGGGCAATTAATGGACAAAAACATTAGCAGAATTCTTTTGGATGAGTATCTATTTGCTTTAGAATTTTTTGTTTTGTTTTGTTCGTAAGATTAGAAATAGCAATAATCGTTTTAATAATCAATTGCTGCTTCATCAAAGACGATTTCAAGAATAAGATCATTAATCGTTGAAATTGTCTGAAGGTTATTGCAGTGGTTTTTAATGTCATGTCACTAAATTTTGTCTGGTCATAAAAAGTACAGAACAGACCCGTTCAATTATAATTTTAAGGCGTTCCTAGAAATTTTATAGAAAGAGATTCCAAGAAAAGGAGGTAAAAAAAAAAAAAAAACACCTCTGCAGCCAGCTGATTTCATTACTGATATTGAAGAATTATATGAAACGACAATCTGGTTGGTGGGGCAGTGGCTTAGGCTTCATTTAGGATAGCTTTTGATTATTATATTTTTAATGTTTTAAAAAATATATACTAAAAAAGTGTTTTAAAAAAAATAAAAAAATTATTTCACTCAAAACTTTATTATTGTTTTGCTTTTTCGATGTCAATCATAATTTCTGTTTAGCTATCATTTTTCGTTACTTATGTCCATGCCTAAGCACATCATACTTTTTTTTTTCAACAAAAGAACAATTTTATTTAAAAAGAGTAAACGGTTACAACATCCAGATGGTAAAACAGAAAAGAAAAAGACAAAATACATTGAAAATAGAACATTGGACATTGGACATTGGGCTCAGTATTTGGCAAAGACTTCAAGCGTCCCAACCGCCTCGCACGGACCATCCAATAAGGTGAAAGAAGCGCCCCAGTGATCGACTAACACTAAGAAAAGCACCAAAGGTTGCCACCAGCTAAGCGACAAGGACGCGAGCCCTAGCCACATCATTGCCCCCAACCACAGCGACAACACAGAAAAAGACATAACCCGAAGAGCAATGGAAAAATAGCAAAAAACGAACAAACATTCAATGTCTACGCCAGCCCCTTCCACGGCCCCTCCCACGAGAGACAATCGAACGACCTGGTTTAATCCGAACCAGAGAGAAATCATTTCCAGGATCAGACCCCCCGCAAAAGTCCGGCGAAGTGAAACCACAATCCGAGTGCTCGGATTCAAATTCACCATCAAAAGATTACTAATAAACTTTTAGGCAAATCCCTCATTTCTTTTCTAAGGTTAGAGAGAACTCTTTGTGTCACCTCAGTTACAGGCAAAGTCACCTCTCCAATCTTTAATAAAGGCTTGACCAAAGCATATATATTATAGTACAAACAAATCCATATAATGAAATTAGAAAATTAGCACGTAATGGATTAGACAATAGAAGTGTGAAATTAGAAACTTAAGTAAGTTAAAAAATGAAGAGATTTGAGTCGTGCATAAGATTTTTAAAATAAAGCATCTCTAAAGGAGAATCATGATGGGGTTTTTATAGGGTTTTGATGGTTGTAAGGATTTATGATGCTTAGGTGGGGGATAAAAAAAAATATTATTATGAAGGAGATCTGCTAACCTTAAATTTTTAATGTTGGATGAGAGCAAGAGAAGAATAGGAGATCTTTATTTGGACGAAAGGACCACCAAGACACTTTGACACTTGAGGATCTTTGAAGCTCTCACCAAAGAATTTCAATAAAGATGCCACAAGTCAGTTCCAAAGCAATTGAAACTAAGCAATAGGAATTGTTTTCTATTTAATGTTTGATTTTGAAGGTCACATTACACTTGTATTTATAAATCATAATATTGAATAACATAAAAAAAATCTATTATAAGCAATGTTTGTTGGTCAATACATAATAATACACAATAACTTAAGAAAATTTAAAGAAACAAAAAAAATTAGAGGTCATCCATGGTGCTGAACAAACAATAAAGAGAAACATAAGTAAATTCTTACCAACTTCACCTTCAAAAGGAGCTCACCATAACCAAGCTTTGCCACAGGTTAAACTATCAGTCTATATCAGTCAAAAAGCAGCCCTTAAAGAAGAAAAACAACATAAAAGTTTTCTAAAAAAGTTTCATTCAATCTGAAAGCACAAGCAATGGAAACGTTCCATAACATATTGTACCAAACTAATAGAAGAATGTGGCGGCCTTTCCGTGAAGAATTCATTTATCTTTTCTTGCACTTTCCCGGTCTTATCACCATAACAAGGTAACAAACACCAGACGGAAACTTTCATATTATTTCTCGATAAGCTTCTTCAAATCCCTCAACCAAAGCAAGTATTCGCGGCTATCTTTGTTAATCATGTACTCGTGCAAGAAGTTGGTAGTCATAGCTGAGATTCCTCTTAGCTCCAAATACTTGTAAAAGGACTTCTGAAGGTTCTCGTCCAAATCACTACCTCAAGAAAATGACAATGATTAGTTTTCATAAAATAGATTTAGGCTTCGTTAGGGACAGCTTTCTTACCACTTCATAAAGCAGTTTTTTAATAAAAAATTGATTTAAGAAGCAGTAAGAAAGTTTTCTCAAATGAAACCTTAATCTTAAAAAGCATAAATTAACATGTGTAAAAAACATTTTTAACCATTCAACAACAATTTGGTATCTCTTAGAGTCGGTGCTCTTAAATGCGAGTTGATCACTTGTCCAGATACTCAGATGGGAGAGGTGAGAATAAAAATGGGCATCATTAGTAGGATGTATTTGGGTGAGCTTATACAAGTCTAAAATCTCTAATTGGATATACAAATCATGTGCTGATGATGATCTAATTATCTAATTCTTTTGTTTTGAGGTCGACATAGCGGCTTCTATACTAATTAGATGTTGCTCAATTGCCGTCATTGAGGACTCCCGGTTGCCTTCTGGATATTTCCTTTTATGATTGATTATGTCCTTTTGATTGTTTGCTAAATTTCTTCTTTGGATTAATTATTTCGCGAAGATGCCAAACGCCGTCCGGACACCAACCAGAATGTGCCACGTCACCCCTGTGCTCGGTACCACGGCTCGGTACCGCGACGTGGCGCATTTTGATTGGTCTCCGGACGACGTTTTGCGTCCGGTCTCCGTACAAAATAACTCTCCCTTCTTTAGCCTTGATTTCCCCGGGATCATAGTGGGCTGCTACTTGATATTTTTACTATGGTTATTTACTTATATTGATTATTACCTGGTTTCCATCTTTGATAACTTGCGATATGAGAATTGCAGCAAATTAGTTGCTCTTTAGGCATCCAAGACTGTAAGAAATTAGAGATTACCTGCTTGGTGATCTGGCATTTTAGCAAGAAATCGGTTAACTAGTGGAACTGGGATTTGGACTTCAGAAATTTTTGTTTCTGTTGGAATTCAAGTAGGATGAATTAAAGATTTGTCATTCTAGGCCATATTTTGAAGTATATTGAGATTTTTCTTTAGATTAGTTGTAGCTATAAATTGAAGCTTTGAGGCACCGAAAAAAAACATTGAACATTGAGTCTTCTAATGAAAATTTAATCTTCTTTAATTCTTATATGTGTTATGATTGAATGTATTGTCTTTGAATGCTTTCCTAGTGTTGAAAACTACTTCCGGGGGCTAGTTTCTTATATTGGATCAAGGCCTAGTTGTTCCTTTCATGATTTTTATCCTTATTCTCATTGTAATTTGTTTAATCGTTGGTATGCGTGCATGATTGAAAATTTGTCAAGTATGATAAGCACCGGATTTTATTTTTAGTGTAAACTTGATCATTGCTAGAATTTTATATCATTCATTATGCTTCTCATGGAATTCTAGATTTTGACAACTATTAAATTCTTATTTAGAATAGAAGAACTGTATTTGTGGTTTTGACATTAAAAGTGTTTTTTTTTTTTACATACAGGTTGTGGATTTCTTGTATATTTTTTATTGTTCATCTCATCCAAAGGCCTTAGTAAATCCCAGAATCATAACTGCCCTTCATTAAAACGGTATCAAAGCTTATGGAAATCATCATGTCAACTAAATAGAACACAACACTAAATTCAATAAAAAAATTTAATAAAGATACAATTTAAACAAAATTGGGTCACAAAATTCAGTCAGTCATGCTTATAAGCGAAGACAATGTAACTATTGTGATTGTAAAAATTACATGCCAACATTAAATCGCAAATCCAACAAAAAGATATTTTTATAAAGGATTGATAATTTGGAAATACATCTTTGGAGAAGTTAGGATTGTTGGAATGAAATCTATTGGACATGCTCAAAGTTAATGATGTAATGCTGCAAGAAAATAAGATCAGCATGGGATGACGTGAAATTTAAATTTAAAGAACAAGATGTGCATAGGAGAATATCAGTAGTAGTTAAATAATCACTTTAAGGGTTATAGCCAAAGAAATTATAGTATATATACATATAATGATAAATTTATATATCTTCTAATTAAACATGACTTATCTTGAGATTATCTTGTTATCATTTTGTGCTTTAACAAAGGTCTTAGACAAAAGATTAGGTTTTTGTTAAGGTACAATTTATCAAGAATGATAAATAAGGCATTGTCCAGAACTTTGAATGTCAAGGCATACTCTAAATGATATATTAGTAATCTAAACCTGTCTATAAAACTTGTAATGAGAAATCTTTACATTCTCCTCTCAAATTTGTCAAACCAACACCGACACCAAAATTATCCTTTGTAGAATTTGATCTTATCAAATAAACTATAATCATGAATATCCATTAGAAGATGAGTATTGTGGAGAATGAATCTGCGCCTACAGTAGAACATGAATATAAACTTAAACTTATTCTTAAACAGGAGTTGAACTTTGAGTCCACAATTAAGTATGAAGATGAGGGTGTATCTAATTGAATATTTAAACCATATTTCGAACTAGAACCTCTAAGGAAAATTGAGACTACCACTAAAAAATGAAATTGAACCTAAATCTAAACAAGAGTTGGAATTCGAGCCACAAATAAAATTTTAGTGTAAGAAAAACTCTAAATATAAAGTTCAAAGCTCAAATAGACACTAAATTTGAAAGTGCATCAAATGTAAAACCATATAAGAATCTAAATTGCAAATAGGATCTAAATTTAACTGTAAACTGCTACTTAAAACTGAACCTACTTACGAATATGACCATGAATTTCAAATTGAAATTATATATAAGTCAGCAAAACATACATGCTGTAATTGATGAATCAATTGAATAGAGTAATTCTTGAATCTAAATGCGAATAAATCGTGCCTATGAAAGATGATAAATAAATCAAACAAGCTACTTGAACTCTAGATGAAAAGTCTAACGAAATTATTTCTAGAAATTAAATAGAAATTGATTTTATTTTTTTATTATTAGTTTCTTAACATAAAATCTATGAAGAGAGTTAGGGAGATCATAAAAAAATAGCAATTTGAAAGCATTCAAATCTCGCTTGAAATTCGACTCAAATCCACTTTATTTTGAATCAATTTTGAGCTACACTCTTGACTCAAAATCAATTTAAAATTTGAACTAATTCACTCAAAATTTAAGTCGAGTAAATTCAAAATGAGACACAAAATGTGTACATATTTATAATAGATCATTTAATACAATGCATATAAAACAATATAAAATAAAGTAAATTTTAATTTGTTGCTTAAAGAATTTTTATTTTAAATCAACTTGTTATAAGTCAAATAGATATCATCCTATATGAATCAACTAAAGAAAAGTTATTCCATGCAAGAGGACTGAAGTTTGGAAACCTTCTTGACAAGCAAGGAACTTCACCAATAAGGGATAATATAACCCATATACCTAAAGTCAAGATGAAAACAATTTATAAAGAGCTATTTGTTTTAGAAGTTATGATGGCTAAAGCAAATTTTCCTTTATAATAGCATTTACAGAGTTTGAAAACCTGTTCTTAAATGATGCCAACCATTTACGGATCAATCTCAATTGCAATGATATTTTAGGCACATACAAGTGGCCTAATTTTTAGGTTTTCACTTTTCAATGATGGAACCAACCTAAATAATCGTCTCTACAGAATAATATAAAACTTTCAACTAAGGAGTCAAGAAGCCATAGGTTGGTGAGACATAAAGCCATTGATTAAATAAATACTAGAAACATTGGTGAGAGAGGTGCAAACAATAGTTTATGGCAGTTTATGGGTTAGATTTTAACCTCTGATCTCAGTCTTCGGAGATCAAAGACAATATAAGTTAACCAAAAGAAAGACTGTTCATAGGTATAGTGTATGGTAAGCCCTGCAAGGCGATAGAACCATAGGATGGGAGTGGAGCATAGAATAGCTTCAAAAACCAACAAGCCTGTATAGTATCAATAGGAAATAGAAGCTACTATGACAAACAGTCAGTCTGCAAATTTTAGCTTTCAAACACCATACATGATTTATTTTTCTAACATTTTTCTTGCCAGGAATCATGGGTAAATGTGAGGGATATCTTATGTCGATAAACATATATAAAAAGTTTAGGGTTTTTCAATTGATACTTGCGAACACTGCCACTAATTCAATCTGTCCAATTGAATGTATAGGATGAGCAAACATTAACCATAAAAGAAAAGAAGATATAAACAAGGTATAAAAATTACAAGGTTACCTGAAATCAGGTCCCTGATAGGCAAGCATTTGTTCATCAGATTCCTTGGTTTCCTTAAAAGACATGCTGTCAATTACAAGCTCATCTGGATAAGCGGTGCAGCAGAATTCCAAACCATGCCCTTCATTTTTTGTAGCATTTATGGTCAATGGAATGCTAGATTGGTTTGCTCTTTCCTTCTTCAACTCCTCATCATTACGACCAGCCCTCCTATCATGTTCGGGCTCTTCTCCAGTCACAAGGCTCGGCATAGAGACCAAAACTTCAATTTTCTCCCCATGATAGCTTCTTTTGATAGTGATGGTATTCTTACCCCTTTCATTTTGAATTTCGAATGGGAACCCTTCAGGTATTTCTTCCACCTGCGATATTATAACAACCTGAAATCATCTTTTTGGAAGATCTTGGATTAGTAATAGTCCTATAGCTTCTAGTTAGCTGTTCCGTCTCTAAATGAGAGGGTTTTCTTTTTGTTTCAGTTATTTCCCTCCATGGATTACTGCAAAGTTAAAAACGAGAAAATCTTTTAACGCACCTCAGACGAAGATGGGTAATGACAGGGGAAAAGTAAGGCTACGAATTAAAGGTTTGAAGAGAGAGATTAGCAAGAGCTTACCCTATCGTGGTCGTCGCAGTCCTCGGCACACTTGATCTCGGCGTCAATGACACGAAGGAGTTCAGAATCGGAAGCCGGCTTGTTGGCCTTGGAAGAGAAATTAGAGACGGAGACGGGAAGGACGGTGCAAGATTCTCGAGACAAATGGCTCCTGGATGGCTGTGACTGGAAGAAGGCCGAGAGTGGGATTTTGAAGCTTTTGTCAACAGCAACGCTTGCAAGAAGGGATCCCGACAAGCTGACTCGCCGGAGAATAGCGAAGACCATTGCCGCTAAGAAAAAAGAGCAAAACTAACCTTTCATTCCTCCGCCCTAGTGAGCTTCGAGAAGCTATCATTTTGTTCCTTTCTTTTAAAAAATTTACTAGCTTGATATTTAAAAACTTTCAATTTAACAATTTATATATTTAACTTTTAAATTATTATTTACTTACCTGATATTTAAAAGTTGGGGGATTTACATACATGCCACCTTATTTCGTGCTATTTATATATTTCTACCATCCAAAACATTAACATTACATGCTTACCACCCATAAAACAAATTTGGATGTATAAAATGAAATATTAAATTTTGTAGAATGATATGAATGGTAAAAATGAATTATAAGAGTGATATATTTGATATTGAAGTTGTATATGAGTGATAAGCATATAATATTAATATTTTAGGTATAAGATATATAAATAGCTTGAAATAAAGTGGTATGTATGTAAATTTCTCTTAAAAGTTTCAATATCAACAGAGGCTTCGTTTGAGACAGCTTTTTTATTACTTAATTTTTGTACTAGAAAGATGCTTCAAAAAGCAGTCCCAAACGAAGCAAGAATCATCGCTTGCCTCCAAAGGTTGTTCGGATCAAATCTCACACACCTGCCACATATTCACACACCATTCAACCATTTGCAATCAAATGGCATATATGTGATTGCCATCAGCCAAACGATCTAGCCGAATGCGTTTTCGTCGACTATTCTTCGAGAGTGAATATTGGCGTCGCACTGTTCACACACACTATTTTTCCTGTATGTTCGAGATTTGCCGAAAAAGTGCACGAAAGAGGAGAAAACTGATTATCTTTGGCAGCGAAATGAAGAAGCGGGCGAATGAGAGTTTGATTGGAGACAAATTAACTCATTTTGAAGTTTTATTATATTTTGTAGTGGAAAGCGTGTTTTTCGAGGGAAAATGCCCTAAGTCCTCCATTTTTTCTCATAACATCAATAAAGTTGCAACAAAACTTGTTACGGCAACACATCTATCAGAAATTGCTAAGATAGGGCGTTAATGGCACTAACATTGGAAATTTATATTATTATATGATCTTTATGATATGTAAATTTTATTTATTACATCATATGGTTCTACTAATCGAATTGATTGAATCGTGAAACGCACCTTCTACCAGTTAATTGTCTGGTCCGTATTTTACAACCTTGTAAATAACTAAATCCATTAATATAAAATTCAATTCACACATTACATGGTTATACCAAAAAATAATTATCATTCTTTCACTATAACTCTTAAATTACATCCAAAATTTCAATAATATTAACTTATCTCCCCCATAAATATAGCCCAAATTCAATTACTTGGTAGGTTTGTCAATCTTTGCTCCCTCAATTATGTATTTTTTTTAAGCATTTAAGTACCTTAATGATAAAATAATTAAATTTTTGAGCTTGTTAGATTCATCTCATCAAGACGCTCGATTGAATATAAACATGCAAAATTTAGAAATCTCATCGAGACACTCAATTTGATCATAAACAAGCAAGATTTGAAGAGCTCATCGAGACACTCGATTTGATTATGCACGTGTGAGATTTGAATATCATTTGATCCCCTGATTAATGGGCCAAACTCTTCAATTACACTTCCAATGTTTGATTTCAGCTCATTTGGGGCCGAATAGTATCACTTTTAATGTTGATGAATTATAAATGAATTTATCTCATGAAGACTTTTTTTAAACAAATTTTTTTATATTTCATATAAAAAGGGGATATACAACCATAGGCCAAAAGAGGCAAACTTACTAAAAAAAATAAAGCTTAAAATATCCCAATAAGCGACATATTTCAAAGCAATCTGAAATTGAAAGGTAACCCAAAATTGAAGAGATTAAATAAGACCCTGAAGCCTGTCGGGCTCAGAATTGTCACCAATTGCCATACTAGGACCATCCATTGGAGGCAGAAAAAATATTAGCAGAAAGACCCAAAAGCTACCATTGACCACGCAGATAAGAGCCACTAAAGTTCCCGAAACAAGTCACGGCCATCCAAGTAGGGGTGTAGGAACCTTGCCTCATCATCGTCCGACCTTGAAAAAGGAGACCATCCAAGTAGACACCAACATTGAAAAAAAAAGGTAGACACCAACATTGCCCAATGACCAACATTCCACTGCCTTAGCACCATGCCAATCCACAATCCAAACCACACACCAAAATCAAAACATCTAACATAGAGATTAAAAAGTCCACTAAGGAGAAACACAAAACACCCCACCAAAATGGAGCCATATTTTGCAATTCGGAACCAAACAAAACCACAACAACCAATTTTACTTTCGTTTAGATTTATACCTGCGACGTTTACCACCCCCAACAGAAAAAGCCTTCTTAGCAATGCAATTCACACTCAAGTTAAACATCGCATTAAACTCATCCTCGTGCTCCTCCAACTCCTCCCCCTCACCCCCTCACCCCTGCAAACTGAGAGGGATCCATCAAGCAAGTCTGAATGATCCACACCATTATCATTCAAATTCAATGCCAAATGAGCTTTCAAATCCTCATTAGATAAAATAGAAATTGGAATATCAACAATTGGCACCATTGCTTCTGAAATCACCAATGAAGGATTGAAAGGATTCAAAGAAGGTTCAACAAAAGAAGCATCCAAACCACATGAACAAAACATTCACACCAACAGTAGGAGAACCACCCTCATCAGCCTCATTGCCACCTAAATTAACAATAAAAGCATCCAAATTCTCCGAACCATGGTCAGCATCATCCACAACCTTAGAACTATCAGGAATTGACACCACATCCCAGACGGAACCCCAGCATCAATAGCAGGCAAAGGTACATCCAAAATTTCACTAATATTAACTTATCTACTGCTTAAATATAGCTCAAATTCAAATACTTCGTAGGATTGCCCATCTTTGTTCACTCAATTATATATTTTTCTTTAAGCATTTAAGTACGTTGATGATATAATAATTAAATAATTTTGAACTTGTTAGATTCATCTCATCAAGACGCTCAATTTGAATATAAATATGCAAAATTTTAAAAATCTCATCTAGATGCTCAATTTGATTATAAACAAGCACGATTTGAAGATAAAAATTTTAAACAAATAATTTGTATTTACTTAAAAATAAACATTAACGAAAAACAAGTTTAATATATTTCGTTTACTTCAAATCTCTAATACACCAAAACAAGCAGCACATGACTGATTTAAAGATAAAACAGAAACGGAAAATCATGCTTGGATATGCACCTCAACCGTCATGCAAAAGCTGTGAAGCAGTAAAATACCAATCACATAATATTTTCTTTTGATTTAAAACAGGGAGCATTTGCACCAATGCCAAATTATTTAGAAATCGAAGACAGAAAAGAGGAATAATGCGACTGCCACGAATATTGTTATAAAGCAAAATTACAGCCGGAAAACGATAATCTCGCATAATCAAATATCCCCATCCCAAATCTCCTCCACACTTTTATATAAGCCTTGAGCGCTAACAAAGAAATCTCCTCTGATTAGCTTTTCCTGCAGTAAAAGAAGAAGGTCAACCAAAATTAGACGCACACAACTCATCTTGGCCAGTTGGTTGAGAGCTTAGGCTTCTAGCTAAGAGATCTTGTGCTCGAGCTTTTGTGTGTGTGAGTTTGTCTTAAATAGCCTAAATGTCCCAAAAAAACAGTAAAAGACGCAATTTGGAAATACGGATTATACAGAGCAACTACGAGCATCCATCCAAACAATAGCACGAAAAAGGAGCCTGAAATTCCAATAACTTTTTTTTTGGGGCATTTAGGCCATTTAAGGAAAACTCACACACACAACGCATACACAAAGATTCGAATCCCAAACCTCTTAGTTGAAAGCCTAAGCTCTCGACCAACAGACCAGGTGAGCTGTGTAAATTTCAACAACTCAATTTACCTGTTGAATGGTGGAGAACTTTGCAAACAGATCATCAGGTATGGACCAATCGAACACGTCAAAGTTTTCTCGTATTCTAGATTCTTTGGTGCTCCTCGGCAGTACACTGTTACCAACTTGGATTCCCCAACGAAGAGCTACTTGCGCAGCAGTCTTTCCCAATTTCTCTGCAGTCTCGGTAAGAACAGAGTTTGCAAGGACATTCCCTTTTACCCACTTTGACCCGGAAGAACCTAGCGGAGAATATCCTGAGAGGTGAACTCCGTTGGATTGACAGAAGGAACGAAGCTTGGCTTGTTGCCAGACAGGATGGCATTCCACCTGGTTTACAGCAGGTGGAATACGTGCAATGCTCAGCAAATCCTCCAACTTCTTGGTGGAAAAATTGCTCACACCAATAGCACGAGCCTTTCCAGAATCATAGAGCTTTTCCATTGCACTCCATGTGCTAGGTATATCAGGTTGGATAAGATTTTCAGGTCTTAAGTTTGTTCCCTTCTGGAGTCGGAATGGCCAGTGTATCTTCAGGGAATTGGAAAAGATTAGATGAGAAAACAAAAAATTAATGAAAATAAATACCTTGAAGAAAAAAAAAAAATTCTTTAATGATGACCATGTTTCAACAGCTACAATATAAAAAAGAAAAATACTTTGCTAAGACAGGGAGAGAGCAAGAGAAAGAAAGCTTAATCGTTTTTCTACCACGTGGCTGTGTATTGCATTCATTTTAATTGTTAGGGTACGACGAACTAAACAAAAGAGAAGTAATGAATCACAATTTGTAAAACACAAATGTACACAGAAGATTTATTTGAAAAACTCAAAACTGGAAAAAACGATGGGGGAGATGGAGATTGGCTACACTATGGAGAAAACAAAAAACGGAGTACAAAAACAACACCAACCCTAAGCCCTTCACAATATATTTATAGGACAAAATTAGGACCGGTCGAACCCTGCAAGGGGGTGCTATCCCCTTAGACCCCAACACATCTGTCGAGTGAACAACGATCAAGGACATGAACAAACAAGCTTCTAATCAAATTCAAGGCAACTCCAACATTAACAATCTCATGTAGTTGTGCATGCACTCATTAGCCATGTGTCAAGACATTTTTTGGGCTATGGATTAGGCGTACTCAATAAAAAATGCATAGAATGCCTATAAGAGACAAAAGAGATTAGGCGTAGCTAAATATTTGCCAAAGACAAGAGAGCTGTAAGACTTGAAACTACATGATTGAGAAGAAAATAAGATTTTTTCGAAGATGAGATGTACCAGGTAAAGATCCACATAATCGAGCTGTAGATCTTTCAAAGTTAAATTTAGCTCCTCTTCTACATCTTCTGGAGCATGGCTATCGCACCTGAAAAATCATTGTCAGTTTTCTTAAGAAGTGAAAGATATAATGATGGATTAGAACTAACAAATAAAATATCTACTTGTGGATTATCAACTTGGAAATACAATATTCCAAAACGATAGAATGGATTCCAAATATATAATAGATGATTTTGAATCAAGAATGAAGAAAGAAACGAACCAGAGCTTTGATGTTATAAACAAATCTTCACGCTTTACAACACCATCAGCAAACAGCTTCTTCAAATACAACCCAATCTGGACTATAGTAAACTTCATCAGAATTTCATACAAACTGGAATAAAACGTAAAGTTCTTATATTTTCAAAAGAAATGGCCAGGTAGGGAAGCAAATAATTATTCCATTTTCAACGTACTTTTGTGGAATGTTATAAGAAATTATAATGTTAATAATTAGAATTGGGAATTTATTAACAACGCAATCTATATAAGTAGAATAGAAACTTAAAATATTTATTATCTGTACGACGACTGTGTTGTAAAGGCTTGATGTTGTTGTTGTTGTACGACGACTGTGTTGATCTTGCATGAATGGGGAACACATTCCTTCATAAAATAGAAATATGGGGAGATTCATCTCAATTTTAACTAAACGGAAACAAACAAACTCCAATCATTGATAGGTCCTAATTTTTTTTCCAAGCGATGATTAAAACTTAAAACTGCACAAGTAAAACCAACACAAAAAGTCAAAAAAAAAAAAAAAAAAAAAAAAAAAAAAAAAAAAAAAAAAAAAAAAGGATAGCTGACTACAAATTGCTCCAAGAGGCAGAAGTTATATATTATAAATTAACCATGCAAATAGCCATGTTCTAACTTATAAACATGGAACAGTACCAAGTTGTAAGGCAATGGTACAGCAAACAAAAGTACCCAATGCAGACCAACCAAGAACTTTGTGAAGATGAATGCGTATTATTTAGAGGGGATCAACAAATAACTAATTGCAGTTTTTTTCTATAATAGTAACTGTTACACTTGACAACTTTGATATTCAAAAAGGCTAACAACGTCATCCATGATACAAGTATTCATTAAAAAAAACATGGTTTCACAGAAGAAAGATAACATTAGTAATGGATAGAAATACCTCTTTCTCATTTCCGTAAATCCGAGCAGTGTCTATATGCCTATAGCCAGTCTGCAGGTTACATACACATAAATTCAATTTATTAAAATCATAGTAAACGATTTAGGAATTCTCCGACAGTAAGAAACACTCGAAAATAAATCAGCCTTCCATAGATAATCATAGGATGATTAGGATCCCAATGACATTTTAAGTGAGATGTCAAAATGTTCATACAATAAAAAAAGAGAAAATAGTACTTCTTATTCAACGTATTAAGAACATGTTCCCCTCGACGGGTTGGAAAATAATTGTCCAGAATAAATAGCTAAGCCGATCCGATACCCATTTCAGAATGAGAAAATCTATTTTGCCGACTGCCGATTCAGCGAAAGTAACACATCCCTTCATATGTTATAGATCGAAACAGTTTTTTAATTTCAAAGAATACAAATCATAATTAATTGAAGAGAAAGATACACCACGCAAATATATGTAAATATCGGGTTGGGTGGTCGATTCATCTCTTCCACGCACAACATAGGGCGAGGCGGAAACTGATTACTCTAAGAAGTTCGGTCTAAAATAACAAGGTCACAAGAATTATTCCAAAAGATCGCAATAAGAAACTGGAAGAAGGGGAAGAGGTCGGATGGGGGGACTTGAATACCTTGATGGCAGAGGTGACGGCTTCTCCGACCACTCCGGGGTCGGCCTGCCATGTCCCAAGCGCTACTGAGGGTATCTGGGCACCGGTGTTGAGACTGAAAAACCTGGCCATTTTGATATTTCCTCTCTTATTACGTGACCCTCTGCTCGCCTCTCCCGCGGCCTCTGTGTTTCTACTTTTCTACTTCTTGACTTGTAAGTGGCACATAATAATTTATCCTAAGTGGAGTGGCGTGATAAGGTATTTATAGTGTGGGTGGGCCAAATGAGCCGAGAGCGGCCCACCTATACGGCTAACGTAAGCGCATACGAAGATAAAAAAAATGTCATTTTATTTCATATGATGTATATATTTAAAATTTAAAATATTAATATTATATAATTATCACTTAAAAAATAAATATGAATGTATTGAATAAAATATTAAAATTTATAGAATTTTTATGAGTGGTAAGAATGAAATACATGAGTGATATACTTGATATTAAAATTATATAGTAGCTACTATCAACTAAGAGGTTTTAAATTAATTTATGATTGAGGGAGTTATTATGATAAT